CGGCAGGAAAGAAAAGAAAAAAAAAGATCAGGATGTAAGGATTCAAGCTGCAGATACCCAGTCCCGGTCCCAGGGTCCCAACGAGTCCCAAGTCCCAGGGCTGTCCCGTAGGGTAGGTCGGTAGGTGTCGGTACCGAAGCGTCATTGGTTGGTAGGAGTCTGTCCGGTACCAGACAAGAAAAGTCGAGAAGCGTCCAGTCCAGTCCGACAGTCCCAAGTCCAATTTTGCGGCATGTCCCAGGAAAGTCTGGAAGTTACCGGACCGACAAAATGTTTGCAGTAGACAGGCCGCGGCCGACCGGTACTCTGAAGCAGGCCAAGCCAAGCCAAGCCAAGTCCTATATTTAGTTGCTACAGCGCAGCGGCTCATTACTTGTTCAGTTGCAAGATGGGGAAGTGCTGCTGCTGCTTGTGCCTTAAGGCAACTTGGGCACTGCACACCAGACGGAAAAGAGGGCGCTCACAAGTTACTCCATAGTTAGGTCAGGGGTAGAGCAGGAGGATGGCGGCCACAGCCGCCAAGGTGTAAGCATACCTGAGTGGGTGTATCCAGGGTGACGATCTAGGTTAGAGGGAGAGGGAGTGAGGCAGAGTGAGCCAAGTCAGAGAGAGAGAGAGAGAGAGAGAGAGAGAGAGAGAGAGAGAGAGACGCCCTATCCGCCACCTGATTGCGATCCGTTGTGTGCGTGTGTGCGACAGAGCCGCTGGAGACAAACATTGTTCTATATTGTTAATAATATTGGAGATGACATCTTCAAGTGTTGATTGTATCTCGATTTGGCTTCTCACGCGTGAACTCGTGTGAATGTTCATTGATGCATGTGAGGTTGAACTTGACGAGTACTTGGCTCATTTCAGCGGTATCGGATCTGGTTCCCACTTCGTCCGCTCGGAGTTGAGGTGCTGTCAAGGTAGAAGACCGACGGGATAAAAAAAATAAAATAAAATTAGGGTTGACTGCATGTTGAGGGCCGAAGAAGAAGGGGCACAGCAAGGAGCAAGAGGAGTTCTCACCTGCGATTGAGGAGCTTCGTCGACGGAAGTGCGTCTTTGCCCTGGCCCTGTCCTTTATGCAATTTGAATTTTGTTGTGAATGGTACCTTCCCACATTTTCTTGGAGACCTCTGCTTCAAGGCGATTGCTATTGATTGCATCTTGTCATTCGAGTCAGCAGTCGCACTTGATCTGCCTGTTGCT